GGGTCCGACTTGACCCGGACAATCTTAACTTTTGTCGTTCCATAAAAATGACCTAAGGAACGATAGTCATCTCCACCCCATGACTGTTTCTTATCTTTTGGCGCTTTAGGACCATAAAACTGGAATTTCGCTCGATTCTAAGATTTTTGTGTGCTATAGCCCACACTTAGTCACCATCTCGCCATGACAAATGACCTAAGGAACATTAGTCACCGTCTTGCCATGACTGTTTCTCGTTTTGTGGTGTTTTAGGGCTATAAATCTGAAATTCCGCCCGATTCCCAAATTTTAGTGTGCTATAACCCACGCCTCCGGCATAGGGTCGGGCCACCGGACCCGGACCGCCTAAAATTCTTGTCGGACTATTAGAAATGACCTAAGGAACAATAGTCATCTCCTCTCCATCACTGTTCCTCGTTTTTTGGTGTTTTAGGGCCATAAAATCGGAATTCTGCCAGATTCCCAAATTTTTGTATGGGCCCGGGCCACCGGACCTGAACCGCTTAAAATTTTGTCGGACCATAAAAAAAAACTTTAGGAATAATAGTCAACGCCTCGCCATTACCGTTACTCATTTTTTGGCATTTTAGGGCAGTGTTTTAAAAGGCGTGAGCGTAAGGCGAGACGTTTTATATATGCCTCAGCGGGGCGTAAGCCCCATAGTTATTTAATTTTTAATATTTTATAAAATAATATAATGACCGTAAATATTTATAAACAGGTAAAATTGCATAAAATTAAAGAAAATTATATATATGTGTGCTCCATCCCCACAAAAAACTAATCAAAATAATCTATTATACGCTACTTACAAGCACAAGTAATTTGAGTCTAAAATAATAAAGTTTTCTATATGGAGGAACAAAAAAGATGATTAACCTGCAATTTGAACTTTGAATTTGCTGTTATGAAGAAGAATGTAGTTCTCTTTGTATTTGTAAAAAAAATTAAATATTGGTTGCTTTTGGGAGATATTAGCAGACAAGATAAAAAATTGGGAAAATCATGAATTAGGGCTTAAATCAATAAAAAGGGTCTTGACTTTTAAATTTAATACTTTTGAGTTCCTTTTTAAACCTTTTGAGTAATTACCAAACTGACTTTTGAGAATTTGGGTATTATATGAAAGACTAATTCAACAAATTTTGTTTTAATTTGAAAAAGTCTCTTGGGCTTACTCCTCACTAAAAAAAATGCGCCTCGAACGCCCGGGCGTACGCCCCAAATTGCTGGGCATACGCCTCTTGAGACTTTCGCCCCACGCCATTGCCCCGGGGCATTTTTGGTACGCCTCGCCCCAGGATCGCCTTTTAAAACAGCGTTTTAGGGCCATAAAACTGGAATTTCTCCCGACTCCCATATTTTCGTTTGCTATAGCCCACACCTTCTGCATGTGCCCGAGCCACCGGACCAGGACTGCCTAAAATTTTTCTAGACCATCAAAAACGACCTAAGAAATAATAGTGACCTCCTCTCCATGACCGTTCCTCATTTTTAACATTTTAGGGTCACAAAACTGGAATTCCGCCCGATTTCCAGATTTTCGTATGCTATAGCCCACGCCTTCTGCATGAGCCCGGGATACTGGACCCAGGACACCAGACCCGGACCGCTTAAAATTTTGCCGGACCAACGAAAATGACCTAAAGAACAATGGTCACCACCTCTCCATGATCGTTCCTCGTTTATTTGCATTTTAGGGCCATAAAACTGGAATTCTGCCCGATTCCCGATTTTTCAGGTGCTATAGCCCACGCTTTTTATTTGGGACCGGGCCACTGGATCCGGACCGCCTAAAATTTTGTCAAACCATCAAAAATAACCTACAGAACAATAGTTTCCGCCTCTCTATGACCGTTTCTCATTTTTTAGCATTTTATGGTCATAAAACTAGAATTCCACCTGATTCCCATATTTTCGTACGCTATCACCCACGCCTTCTACATGAGACTAAGCCACCAGACCCGGACCGCCTAAAATTTTGTCGGACCATCAAAATCCACCTTAGGAATAATAGTCACTGCCTCTCCGTGATTGTTCCTCTTTTTTGGCGTTTTAGTATCATAAATCACGAATTTTGCCCAATTGTCAAATTTTCATGTGCTATAGCCCACATCTTCTGCAGGGGCCCAAGGGAACGGACCCTGACCGCCTAAAATTTTGCCGAACTATCAAAAACGACCTAAGGAATAATGATCATCGTCTCGTCATGACCGTTCCTCATATTTTCGCGTTTTAGGGCCATAAAACTAGAAGTCCGCCCAATTTATAGATTTTCGTGTTCTATAGCCCATGCCTGAGGCATGGATCCGGACCACCGCCTAAATTTTTTTCGGACCATAAAAAATGACCTATGGAATAATAGTCACTGTCTCGCCATGACCGTTCCTCGTCCTTTGGCATTTAGGGCCGTAAAACTGGAATTTCGCCAGATTCCCAAATTTTTGTGTGATATAGCGCACGCCTTCGGCATGGGCCTGGACCACCACCTAAAGGTTTTTCGTACCATCAAAAATAGCCTAAGGAACAATAGTCACCACCTCGCCATGACCGTTCCTCAAGTTTTGGCGTTTTAGTGCCATAAAATTAGAATTTCAACCAATTTCCAAATTTCGTTTGCTAATAACCCACGCCTTCAGCATGGGCCCGGGCCACCTGACCCGGACCGCCTAAAATTTTTTCAAACAATAGAAAACAAACTAAGAAACTATATTCACCATCTCTCCATGACCGTTCCTCGTGTTTTAGCGTTTTAGGGCCAAAAAATTGAAATTCTGCCCGATTGTCAGATTTTCGTGTGCTAAAACCACACCTTCTGCATGGGCCCGGACCACTTAACCTGGACCGCCTAAAATTTTGTTGCACTATAAAAAATGACCTAAGGAACAATAGCCAATGCCTCTCCATTACCGTTCCTCATTTTTTGGTATTTTATGGCCATAAAATTAGAATTCCGCCAATTTCCCAAATTTTAGTGCGATATCGCCCACTCTTTCTACAGGAGCCCGGGCCACCGACCCGGACCTTCTAAAAATTTTTTGCACCATTAAATACTATCTTAGGAACATTAGTCACCACCTCTCCATGACCGTTCCTCGTTGTTTGACATTTTAGGGCCATAAAACTAGAATTCTGCCTGATTTCCACATTTTCGTATGCTATATCCCATGCCTTCTGCATGGGCCCAAGCCACCGGACCCCTACCGCCTAAACATTTTTGGGACCATCAACAACGACCTAAGGTACAATAGTCACTACCTCGCCATGAACGTTCCTCATATTTTGGCGTTTTAGGGCCATAAAATTGGAATTTAGCCAAATTCCCAGTTTTTCGTGTGCTATAGCCCACGCCTTCTGCATGGGCCAAGGCCACCAGACTCGGACAACCTAAAATTTTGTCGAACCATAAAACACAACCCGAGAAGCAATAGTCACGGCCATGCCATGACTATTTCTCGTCCTTTGGCGTTTTAGGGCCATAAAACTGGAAATTTGCCTGAATCCCATATTTTCGTGTGCTATAGCCCACGCCTACTGCATGGGCTTGGGCCACCGAACTCGGACCGCCTAAAATTTTTCCAAACCATCAAAAACGAGCAAAGGAAAAATAGTTTTCGCCTCTCCATGACCGTTTCTCATTTTTTGATATTTTAGGGCCATAAAACTGGAATTTTGCCCGATTCCCAAGTTTTCGTGTGTTATAGCTCACGCCTTCTGCATGGGCCAGGGCGACCGGACCCGGACCGCCTAAAATTCTTTCGGACCATAAAAACGACTTGAGGAACAATAGTAAACACCTCGCCATGACCGTTCCTTATTTTTTGGCGTTTTAGGGTCATAAATTGGAATTCAACCTGATTGTCAGATTTTCGTGTGCTATAGCCCACGCCTTCTGCATGGGCCCGGGCCACTGGACCCGGACCACCTAAAATTATGTCGCACCATAAATAATAGCCTAAGGAACAATAGTCAGCGCCTCTCCATTACCGTTCCTCATTTTTTGGTATTTTAGGACCATAACATTAGAATTCCGCCCGATTCTCAAATTTTAGTGCGATATCGCCCACTCTTTCTACAGGAAACCGGGCCACCGACCCGGACCTTCTAAAATTTTTCCGCACCATCAAAAACTACCTTAGGAATAATAGTCACTGCCTCTTCGTGGTTGTTCCTCATTTTTTGGAGTTTTAGGGCCATAAAACTGGAATTCTGCCTGATTCCTAGATTTTTATGTGCTATTCCCCACGACTTCTGCATGGGCCTGGGCCACCGACCCCGACTACCTAAAAGTTTTTGGGACCATAAAAATGACCTAAGGAACAATAGTCACTGCATCGCCATGACCGTTCCTCATGGCGAGGTGATGACTATTGTTCCTTAGGTCATTTTTATGGTCCGACAGAATTTTAGACGGTCAGGGTGTGGCGGACCGGGCCCATGCTGAAGGCATAGACTATAGCACATAAAAATTTAAAAATCGGGCGAAATTTCGATTTTATGGCCCTAAAACGCCAAAATATGAGGAACGGTCTTGGCGAGGCGGTGACTATTTTTTCTTAGGTCATTTTTGATGGTACGAAAAATTTTAGGCAGTCCTGATATGGTGGCCATGCCCATACAGAAGGTGTGGGCTATAACACACGAAAATCTGAGAATCAGGCGAAATTCTAATTTTATGGCCCTAAAATGCGAATAAACGAGGAACGGACATGGCGAGGCGGTGACTATTGTTCCTTAGCTCATTTTTGATGCTCTCACAAAATTTTAGGCAGTCCGGGTCCTGTAGCCCGGGCTCATGCAGAAGGCAGAGGCGGACCCAGGATTTAAGCATAATGGGGGCACCATTAAATTTAGAATCCCAATCACCAGCGATAACGTTTGGGTGCAACTCTTTGAAATGACTATGATAATTTATCATCAAAATAAAAACATCAATATTATCAAATACCATTAACTTGATACTAATATAACAAAAGTACATTTTCCACTCATAGTTGAACTCAACGCGCTTTCATATTTTGAAAACGGTCAATAATAGCATCATTGCTTATATTTACAAATACTTCCTTCTCAAAGTAACAAACTAAACAATTATTTAAAAATGCATCACTAATACTACTACGCAATTCATCTTTGATGTACTTCATGGATGAGAATGCTCTTTCTACCGTTGCAGTTGCGACAGGTAAAATTAAAGTCAACTTCACAAGCAAATAAACAAGTGAATAAGTCTCCACAAGATTTGCCTCAACCAATGCTTTTGCCAAATCACCAATTCCTTTCAAATCAGAGAACCTAGGGTCACCATGTTCCATGTGCCATATGAAAGTGTCAAGTTGGCGACTAAGATCTCGAAACTTCAATTCACCAAACTCATTGGGATAATGCTTGGCCAATGTCATTATTCTTTCCTTATCAAAATTAGCAAATAAATTAGCCGGATTCAAGCTAGCCATACCAAGAAGCAAGTTACTACTCACAACATCAAAATGACTATTAAGCTCCAGAAGTTGCAAATCAATCACTGCATAAAAAATCTCAACACGTAAGTGATGTGCATAAGTAACACTAGAAGGCCTACATTTCGACTTTCCACGAATATAGAATTCTTCCATATTGGGCACCAAAATATCATGTTTTGCACAAAATGAAGATACTTCATCCATCAATGGTTCCCATCCTTCATCTCTTATTTCTTGCAACCTTTCGTTCGTGATATTAAGAAATACCATGGCATTGACAATATCTTGCTCTTTCTTCTGTAAAGCTTTGCTCAACTCGTTTGACATTATCAACACTTTCAACATTAAGTGAAGCAAGAAAACAAATTCAGATGCTTTAATTTTACTCGAAAATTTTTTTGCTTGCAACCTATCATTGACATCACATTCACATTCAATCACCCCAAGCACATGAACAATAGAAGAAAATAAAATAACAAAGTTATCCAACGTTTTACAATGTGATCCCTATCGAGTGTCACCTGGACTTTGAAGCCCTCGCTCTTGATTTAATCCTTTCCCACTTTGAACTTCACCACTCTCTAGCAATTTCTCCAACAATTTTGCTTGATATTCCCGAAGTTGGTCTCTACGCTTAAAAGAAACTCTAATCACATTCAACACGTTAGTAACAATAGCAAAGAAAGTCTCCACCTCTTTGTATTTTTTAGCAACAGCTACAAGCATCAACTGTAATTGATGAGCAAAACAATGAACGAAATATGCCTTGTCCACGTATTTTGGATGGACTTAATGAGTGTTTCATTAGCAAAGAAAGTACTACTTCTTTCAACGACTTTGCAGATGTATCACTAACACGAACAAGACCAATAAATGGCTCGTTCACTTGGCCTTTTTTGTCAACATACCGCAAAGCAAGGGCCATTTGTTCATGGTGTGAAATGTCCTTGGACTCATCAACTAATATCCCAAAATAATCTCCATTTAGGTCATCATTTATAGCTTTCACAGTCTCTTGTGCACAAGCACTCACAATATCCTTTTGAATATTTGGCGAAGTCATCATATCATTTTTTGGAGCATGTTTTAATATAACTCTATCTACATCTGGAAGCCTATTTCCAAGACACTCCAAAAGCCCAATAAAAAGGCCTTTGTTTTTTGAAGATTCACTTTCATCGTGACCTCGAAAAGACAACCCAAAGTCCAAGAGAAACCTTACAACATCGATTGAGGCATTTAAATGAATTCGATATTTACTTTTTTGTTTCTCAGATTGCTTTTCAAAAGCAGCTTGAATTGATTGAGATTGATTTGACAAGTCTAGCATTTTGTTGAAACACTTATGGTGGAGGCTATTTACTTCACCAACATGTAGACCAAGTCTTTCGGGTCCTTTATTCCAAGCCTTAAAGTCGATTTTTGAAAGAGTCACCCGTGCTACTATGAAGGTAATCATTTTTGAATAAATAATAACATAAATAAAATGCGGCATCTTTCTTCACACTATACTCTAACCATCTAGAATGTGAATCTTTAAACCAACCCGGACTAAATTGGCGCATTTTTTTCCAAATAAAGTTTTAGGAAATTTGTGATAAACTGGTTGGCAAGGCCCTCTTTGGATGTAGTGTCTTCTCACTTCATCCCGTATTCTGAAGCTATATCTATCAATGTGTATTCTCTCTCCAGGGTCAGGATTAAGTGATTTCACATCAAAATCCTCTACAAGATGGGAGGAATTGTCTCTAATACTAGAACTTGATTGAAAAGAATTAAACCTCGTCAAAAATATGTCCATCTCAATTCACATCAACAAAACTTCCTACAAAGCAACAATGCCAAGCAAAACAATATTTTAATAGGGGAATCACACCCTTTCTATCACGAACAAAAGCAAATATAATATTTCTAATAGGGGAATCACACCACTATATTTTATTATAAGTCATAACTCATAACTATATTTTTATTATTATTATCTTAAAGATAGAAGGAACACTTACCAATTTGTGAAAGGTATCCTCGAAATCTAAATACAACTTGGTTTTAAATTATCCACTTCACTGAAATAATATTTCAAATAGCATTAGCAAATAATCTTCAAATACCTATGAAATTAATTTATTAAGATAAAAGAATTAGCACACCAACTAAAGATTTAACATCATGTAAATGTGCACCAATCACCATGATTGTTGTCTGCTCAAACAATGAATTCAAAAACTAAAAGAACAGTAGCGAATTCAAAAATTAAAAGAAGTATCCTTAAAATCCGAATACAAGTTTCTTGCAAAACTTGCAAGCATTATCTACTATATTTAAGAACTCCAGAAAATTAAGCTAACAAAAAGAAGAATTTACAGGACTACATGAGCACTTTACTCATCAATTATTTGTTCAACTTAAGTGCTTGCTACTAATTGGATTTGCATTTGATGGTGTTAGTGAAAAGGGATATTTTGAATGGGGAAGAAAGTAAATCTGTTCATAAGTCATAGCTCATAACCAATCTAGGTCAAAATCACAAAAATCAAAAAAATAATATTTATAAAAAGAAGAAAAACTTACTCAAATAATCAAAGATCTGAAGAAGAGTGGGATTCGAAGTTCAAAGGGATGCAAAGAAGTGAAGAACTGAAAAGAAGGTTGAAGTTGAAGGGAGGCAGAGAAGCTGAGAAGGTTTGTTTCTTGGAGAAAAAAGAGGGTTTGTTTTCGTATCTTTGAGGGAGTTAAAAAATATTAAGCTATTTAAGTCTTAAGTTAAAAAGTAAAAATTAAATAATATGGAATGTAGGACCCCAGATTCGAACCTAGGTCCAGAGGAAAAAGAAGGTTGCTGAGCACTTCCACAAACCATCTCTTCTGCACGGCCTTTGTGACTTAGGGGGCCGCTTTAAATATTTAAAGGGGTCTTCCCTGTATTAACAGATATATAAAAAATATATATACAATATTTTTGCCGAGGCCAACGGGTTCCGGTGATCCTCCACCCCTTAGCGTAGGTTCTTCCCTAGCAGAAGGCGTGGGGTATAACACACGAAAATCTAGAAATTGGGCGTAATTTCAGTTTTACTGTCCTAAAACGCCAAAAAAAGGAACGGTCATATTGAGGCGGTGACTATTGTTCTTTAGGTCATTTTAATGGTCCGACAAAATTTTAAACGGTCCGGGTTTGGTTGCCCTGGCCCATGGAGAAGGTGTAGGCTATAGCACATAGAAATTTGGGAATCAGGCAGAATTTCAATTTTATGGCCCTAAAACACTAAAAAAATGAGGAACGGTCATGGAGAGGCGGTGACTATTATTTCTTAGGTCATTTTTTATACTCCGAAAAAATTTTAGGTGGTCCAGGTCTTGTAGTCCGGGACCATGCAGAAGGCATGGGCACATGAAAATCTAGGAATCAGGCGGAATTCGAGTTTTATGGCCCTAAAATGCCAAAACACGAGGAACAATCATGGCGAGGCGATGACTTTTTTTCTTTAGGTCATTTTTTATGGTCCCAAAAAATTTTAGGCGGTACGGGTCCGGTGGCTCAGGCCCATGCAGTAGGCGTATGCTATAACACACGAAAATCTAGGAATCGGGCGGCATTCCAGCTTTATGGCCCAAAAATGTGAAAACATGAGGAATAGTCATGGAGAGGCAGTGACTATTGTTCCTTAGGTCATTTTTTATGGTCCGAAAAAATTTTAGGATGTCTGGGTCCGGTGGCTCAGGCCCATATAGAAGGTGTGCGCTATAGCATACAAAAATCTAGGAATCAGGCGGAATTCAAATTTTATAGACCTAAAACATCAAAAACTGAGGAACGGTCATGACGAGGTGGTAACTATTGTTCCTTAGGTCGTTTTTGATGGTACGGCAAAATTTAAGATGATTAGGGTCCAGTGGCTCGGGCCCATACTGAAGGCGTGTACTGTTGTAGCACATGAAAATTTGGGAATTGGGTGAAATTCTAATTTTATGGCCCTAAAACGCCAAACAATGAGGAACAATCATGGCGAGACGGTGACTATTGTTCCTTAGGTCATTTTTTATGGTCCAAATTATTTTTAGGTGGTTCAGTTCTGGTGGTCCGGGCCTATATAGAAGGCATGGACAATTGCACACGAAAATATGAGAATTAGGCGGAATTCCAGTTGTATTGCCCTAAAATACCAAAATATGAGGAACGGTCATAGCGAGATGGTGACTATTTATCCTAAGTTCATTTTTGATGCTCCAGTAAAATTTTAGGCAGTTCGGGTTCGGTAACTTGGGCCCATGCAGAATGCGTGGGCTATTGCACACGAAAATCTAAGAATTGGACGAAATTCTAGTTTTATGTCCCTAGAACACAAAACAACGAGGAACGGTCATGGAGAGGTGGTGACTATTGTTCCTTAGATCGTTTTTTATAGTCCGGCAAAATTTTAGGCGGTCCGGATCCGGTGACTCGGGCTCATGTAGAAGGCATGGGCTATAGCGCATAAAAATCTGGGAATCAGGTGGAATTCCAGTTTTATGGCCCTAAAATGCTAAAAACAAGGAACGGTCATGGCGAGATAGTGAATGTTGTTCCTTAGGTCATTTTTATGGTCCAACAAAATTTTAGGCGGTCCGGGTCCGGTGGTCCGAGCCCATGTAGAAGGCGTGGGCTATAATATACGAAAATCTGAGAATCAGGCGGAATTTTAGTTTTTCGGCCCTAAAACGCCAAAAAACGAGTAACGATTATGGAGAGGTTGTGACTATTATTCATTAGGTCATTTTTTATGGTCCCGCAAAATTTTAGACGGTCCGGATCCGGTAGCTCAGATTCATGCAGATGGCATGGACTATAGTACATGAAAATCTAGGAATCGGACGGAATTCCAATTCTATAGCCCTAAAATGATAAAATATGAGGAACGGTCATGGCTTAGGCATAATCGTTCCTTGTTGTTTTTTGGTTTTTTTTAGGCCTAGAATGGAATGCCAAGTGATTTCCGAATTTTCGTATACTATTATCCACGCTATCTGCATGAATCCGGGCTACCGGATCCGACCCACATAAAATTTTGCAGGACCATAAAAAATGACCTAATGAACAATAGTCATGGCTTCGGAATGACCTTTTCTCATTGTTTTAGCATTTAAGGGCCAAAAAGCTGGAATCCAGGCCGATTTCTAAATTTTCATGTGATATAATCCACACTATCTGCATGAATCCGGGCTAATGGATCCGAATCACCTAAAATTTTGCGGGACTATAAAAATGACCTAATGAGCAATAGTCGGAATGAACGTTCCTGATTTTTTGGTATTTTAGGGCCCAAAAACTAGAATTCGGGTCAATTTCTAATTATTGTGTGTGCTACCGGATCCGAATCGCCTAAACTTTTGCGTGGCCATAAAAAATGACAAAATGAATAATAGTCAAGGATTCGGCATAAACGTTCCTCATTTTTGGTATTTTAGGGCCAAAAAGCTGAAATTCGGGCCGATTTCCAAATTTTTGTATGCTATAGTGCATGCTATCTACATGAATTCGGGCTATCGGATCCGAATCGCCTAAACTTTTCTGGTGCCATAAAAAATTACCTAATGAACAATAGTCATGGTTTCGGCATGACCGTTCCATATTTTTTTGGCATTTTAGGGTAAACAAACTGGAATTCGGGCCGATTTTCAAATTTTTGTATGCTATAGTCCACACCATCTGCGTGAAATCGGACTACCGAATACGAATCGTCTAAAATTTTGCGTAGCCATAAAAAATGACCCAATGAACAATAGAGGCTTCGGCATGAGCGTTCCTCATTTTTTGACATTTTAGGGCCAAATATTAAAATTCGGGCCGATTTTTAAATTTTCTTGTGTTATAGTCTATAAGTCATGGCTTATGCATGATCGTTCCTCGTTTTTAGTTTTTTAGGGCCAAAAAATAAAATTTGGTCCTATTTCCAAATTTCTGAATGTTATAGTCCACGCCATCTGCATGAATCCGAGCTACCGAATCGCCTAAAATTTTGCAGGGCCATAAAACATGACCTAATGAACAATAGTCATGGCTTCGGCATGACTTTTTCTCATTTTTTGGTATTTTAGGTCCAAAAAACTAGAGTTTGGGCCGTTTTCCAAATTTTCATTTGAGTCCACACAATCTGTATGAATCCGGGCTACCAGATCCGAATCGCCTAAAATTTTACGAAGCCACTAAAAATTACCTAACGAACAATAGTCATGGCTTCAACATGACCGTTCATCATTTTTGGCTTTTTAGGGTCAAAACAATATAACTCGAACCGATTTTCAAATTTTTGTGTGCTATAATCCACGCCATTTGCATGAAACCGGACTACC